AAAGTGTCAATTGAGTATCACAAAAATCTGGTGCAGTCAACTGGTGCTAACAGTGAGAAATTAACCTGAAAATAACGTCCTCGATGGTCACGGGCAGTGGGGCCCAGTAGCTCATCAACGTCTTTGTCAGGTTCTCCCAGTAGATAAAACCGAGAACAAAGAATGATCGAAACGTAGTGCGCGCTGGAGTTCAGATACCATTTCGAGAACAGCTCTGCCATGAATCCTAAATGATCGCGGTAACAGCTATCCACTTGTCATCGAGGGAATAGCGACCATAACTTTTTTCGACTAATTTTCCCGAACTCTAAGAACTATTTACCTTTCACACACTTCTCGAAGTAAAGGTCTCCCTGGGGATCCAATTGCCACATTTCTGAGCTCATTTGAATGTATATCAACACCTGAATGAGACAAATGGGGACAAGGGATACTATGGAGCGAAAGCAAAATTACAGAATCCCAAATTTGGACTTACCGAGCTACTACTTGACCGGAACACTACACGTGTGTCCGATGAGACAAATCCACTGCGAACGACGTTACCTTTTTGCCACATATCGGAAATTTTAGTGCTGATATTGAAGTGTCGGAGCTTAATAGGAACGAATTACTACCTGATATCTCTCGAATGAAAAGCCAGTTAAGTGGGGAAAAAACTAGAAGTAATTGTTTAATATATCGTCCATACTTTCAAATTGTATTATTCAGTTAAAACTTGATTAATTTTTAACACCACAAGAGCCAGTTAATTATTCAAAAAATCAGAAAATATTTAAAGAATTGAATACCTGCTTGTCAAGATAAGCACAAGTGTTTATCAATCGTGACCTGTAACGCCACATATCGGCTCGACTCATATACAACTCTTTGAAAGTTAGTTGAATATTATCCAAAGTAACCTGAATTACAGTCGATTAAGTAGAAGAGAAGTTAGTACAAAAAGGATAAAGTCTACGCTGGTAATTGACCCCTTGAATATGCAACACGCATTCAACTCCCATTCAGAACCAGGGCATGTCTCGCGTTGGGAATTCCGAGTGGCGATTCATATTTAGTCGCTGGAGGAAGGGGGCCGTTCAGGCACAAGAAAAAAAATTGTTGATTTTCCCCGTTTCACGCGCGCTATCCAGAACTTTGGCAAATTTTTAGAGGCAATTTTCTAGGGACAGGAAATTGGGAGAACTTAGGACGGTAGTTAGATAGGAATGAGAGGAAGAGCGTCGCACCAGAGGAGAAATTCAAAGGGGGATTCGCTGAGGAATTTGAAAAAAGTTTTTCAGCTTCAAACAACGATAATTTTCTTCTAAGGCAACTGCTTGCAAACATAAGAGCAGTTTTAGAAATAGCGAGATTCCCTCTTTCAACGAATCCGCTTGATTGTTTTGGGAGTTTCTGGGTCTATGAGATAAATCGTTGTGGCTTTATTAGGGAAAACTCCGAGCTGCGCGAAGAACCTATTACCTGGGTACCATTTCAAGTGGGCATACTTGGATACACAAGACCGTATCTAGAGCGGATCTCTAAGTGGAACAAAAGTAGGCAATGGTTAGTTCGACGCCCATTAGCTTCAGCTCCGGTGCGCCATGTACTGGGCTCCCACGCAGGGGTAGTGGAATGGTGCAACTTCTACGTAGTGCCACGGGAGTGGATGTGCATATAATAGGGTTTACAAAGGTCAACGGCCTACTTACCCACTTATCCGAGTTATACGGTTCAGTCATCTATGTACGTAGCGTAGCTTGTCAACTATTAATGCGCTTTCGAATTTTGTAGTTTTTTTCGTACATCGCGCGGTCGACGCTTTAAGTTTACGCGTTACTACTCTCTAGCTTACGATTCCCCAAACGTTCCAGGCACTATGACCCTCTCCCATCGTCGCTGGAAAATTCCCAGGGATGTTCAGGATACATCTTTCTGTGGAAAACATAGGGAGGGTCGTACATTTCGGCCGCGTCATATTTCTTCGTTTTGAAGAAGGGGATGCGGATTCGTCTTTGGGAGAATGTGTTGCACCGCGTTCGGAAAAAATTTTTTGCCGTTTTGTTGACATTTTCGCGAACGATTTTTCGTGATTCATGTGTCATATACACCCCCCCCCACCTCGCTCAACAGCAAAATTTTTGGGTAAAAGTGGGGAAACTTTCGGGAAATTCCGAAAAAAGGGGTAGGAAGTTAGGGAGAATCCACGAATTTTTCCCTTTTTCATATTGACTATATATGCCCCCCCCCCGGCCGCTCGACGGAAATCTCGTGTAAAACGGAACATGTGGGGTAACTGGTGGGTAGATGCTGGGGAGTGGGGGGGGGGGTAAATAGCGAACCCTCACTTAGGTGGAAGGGGGGGGGCTCCGTTGTACAAGGAAAACCGCTCCTCAGAGAAGGTCGTAGCATAGCCGCCACCGGCCTTCACACATCAGATGTGTACCCTGTGACGGTGTGTTGTTCCTAGCAAAAGGGACCTCGATGTGAAGATATGAAGCACTTGAAACGAGGATAACTACCCACTGAGAAAAGGATTCAGCCGTAGCCGGGTCCTTTACGACATCTATCCCTAAAAACTAAAATACAACCCTTTTGCCGGTGTCCAGATTTCCTCAGCTATGTACGGCTTATAAAATTATCCTGCTCGTAAGACCTCACACAAGTTTCAACAAGACAAAGAAACTTAACCTAGGAGGTCGTTCAGGACGTGAGCGCTTTTTTGAAAACGGTTTTTTGCATGATGTGGGGTTACGTGCATGGAGTACCAAACTGGTGTTCATTTTTCCTGAACGCCTCTGGGAATGCCAAAAATGGAGTGAAAAAGAAGTCCATGGAAACCGACTGTTATTGAGCCTGAATGGGCTCTAAATCACTCGCAAGTTCGGCCAGTTGCTGCCTATAGGGTCCTTATAAAGGTTGTACTGGTATCTATGAGAAAAGTGGTCGTCAATGGGGTCTTACTTGTGGCACGTAGTTAAGAGTCGACGGCCAATTCGAATGGGCTCTTAAGCAATCGAAGTGGTACCTGTGCCAACGATCGGATGGCCTAGTGGATAGCGTGGAGGATTCTCAAGCAGACAGTGGGGATGGGGGATGATGGTTCGACTCCCCTCGGCTTGCACGTTTTTGCATTTTTTATTTTCCGTTGTTGTCGCTTCCATATACGTCTGTTAATGAATTTTACTCGGATATCTGCCATTTATAGGCACATCCTAAATAGTTATACCCCGTAGTCGGTGCTATTCAGCAATTTCGATTTCACATACCTTACTTTTGCTGGTTATCGAAACCCTCATTTAGCGGTACGAAGACAAAAAACTAGCAACAACCATAAACGCCATCGAAAAAAGAACAAAATAGTCATCATTCCTCCAGGTGCATTTGATGAAGAAATCGGATGAGTCTCTCCTCTTGGTAGGGGAGGACGACATCTTCGTTGAGCGAGCCGTCGCGGGGGTCGACAAATGT